CTGTCTCTAAATAAAATATTAAAAAGAGCTGGGGATGTGGCTCAGTGGTAAAGTACCTCTGGTTTCAATCCCTGGTACCACAAAGAAAAAGGCACCCCTTTTCATTTGGGTACTGTGATGCATATCTGTAATTGCAGCTACTCAGAAGGATAAGGCAGGAGGTTTGTGAGTTCAAGACCAGGCTTTGCAATTAGCAAAACCCTGTCTCAAAATAAAAAGGGCTGGGACGTTCATGGCTCAGTGGTAGCACACCACTGAGTGTGATTCCTAGTTCTACTGGGGGGAACAAAAAGCAGCCATACCCCTGCTGCCCTCTTTACTCTTGGTTTAAGGTGCACTGCAGGTATGAAAGCCCAGCCCTGGTATCTGAAATATTACAGGCATACCAGGTTGGGAGGCAGGCCCAAAGACCAGCTAAGACCCTGCTGTCCTAATTCTGTGCCAGTGAACATGAGAAATTCCGTTTATATATGTTTAGAGAAGCTTGATTTATTTTTTAAAATATTTTTTTAGTTCTCAATGGACTTTTTAAAAAATTTTTTTATTAGTTGTTGATAGATATTTATTTTATTTATTTATACGTGGTGCTGAGAATCAAACCCAGTGCCTCACACATGCTAGGCAAGTATTCCACCACTGAACCACAACCCCAGCCCCTTGATTTCTTTTTTAAGACAAAGGAATTGTGGGAAAAAAAATTTTTTTTTTTGTAAGGGACAAAGATTTGTTTTCTTGTACTTGTCTAAGTCATTGTATGAATTGCCTTTTTAAAAGAGGAACACACTTTAATGGATTTCAAAAGGAAAAAGACTCGCATTTCTTATTTAAGACCAAGCCAAATACTGGCTTACTTGTCCAAAGAGGGAATAGAGCTTGCTCTTCTGTCCTGAGCAGGCTAAACCTTAACATAAACCAAGTATGTTTGTGTCTTCCCACATAACAATAAATTCACAAGCTACACTACCTTCATCAGTTGCTGCTCACCAAGTGCTAGTGGGTCAACTGGTAGTCAGGCTAGCAATTACAAATTTGATTATTGCATTCCAATCTTAATTTCTAATATTTGTAATAAGTCACACATCGTATTTCATACAATGATATATATGATTTACAGAAAGACTAAGGACTAAGGCGGCCACAGTGTTGTTACAGGATGCTGTGCCAAGAACAAAAGCAGAGAGCAGATTTGAGTGCAAACAACAACTGTAAGGGCTCAGATAAGGGTCCCGGGTCCCACCGCCCCCCTTCTTTTTTGGTGGTGCTGGGAATTAGAACCCAGGACCTTGTGTGTGCAAAGCAAGCACTCTATCAACTGAGCTATATCCCCAGCCCTCAGATAAGGGGTTTAATGAACCAGTTCTGCAGGTTCCTGATGGAGGGATGGAGTTCCCACATTTGGGTTCCAGCATTTGGGTGCTGGCTTGGAGTGGGCCATGTGTCATTCTTACAGGCAGAAGAAACTGCACTACACTGAATCCCAGAAACAGAATGGAAGGTTGTTACCTGGGCAAGGTTGTAATGAGTAACCAGGTGACAGGGTCAGGGTCCTACTGTGTCCAATCTGGGTGGTGTGGGGGGATCTCCTTTAATGGATCTTAGATGAGGGGGTCATGTCACGTGGAGTTGATAAGCTCTTCTGTCTGGATGTTTTTGATGTGATTTGGGATGCCCATGTAACCAGGTGCTCCTGATTTAGTTTGGTCTATTGGCACAAATAAGTTATTTATCAACTTGTGCCTTAGGGTTATGCTGGGCAGATGGTTGTGTACTTGTACAAACAAGGCATAGAGTCATTCTACCTTGGCATTGGTACTCAAAATGGAGTAACCCACGGCAGACTACTTGTTTGTCCACATGATGTGGTAGGAGACAGCAGATCAGAGACCCTGAACTGAATGACAGTCCCTCAGAAGAGTCACAGGTGACCAGATGGAGCCCCAGCTTATTGTTTATGCTGTGGTGATCTCCACTCCTCTTTTTTTTTTTTTTTTTTTTTTTTAAAGATGATTGCTGCTATCCTGCTTAACACTAGAACATAATCAGTCTGGGTACTGAACTGATGTCCTGATGTGCAGTCTTTACGGGAAGCGTCCCAGGGAAACACAATTGTTTCAATCTGGTTCAGTGAGGATGCAGGAGTATCTTCCCTGAGCAATTTCCCTACTTTTTCACTTTGAACAAAGGTGTTGCCAAATAAATGAATACTCATCAAGTAAGATTGCAAGAATGTCTAATCTAATTATGGAAAAAAGGAGGTATGTGTTTGCTGCTGCCATCTCCTCCTCTCCTTCTTCCTCCTTTGACTTAGCAGGTAAACTTAACATCAAAAAACCAAATAACCCAATTAATAAATGGGCAAAGGAACTGAACAGGTACTTCATAGAAGAAGAAACATAATCAGTATACTTTTTTTAAAAATATATATTTAAAGCCACTTTAGAAGTTTTAACAGTTCGTTTTTTTAAAGCAAGGAAGATAAAACACAAATATATTCCTATTTTTTAAAATGAGAATTAAAAATACCCTTTTACCAATCAGATCTTCTTGTAGCTATTTTTTTTTTCAGGGCATTTACATATGTACCTACTTAATACTATAGTTTTGGTTTGTGCTTTAAAAAAATTTTTCAGGATCAACTTAATCTATAATGAACTCTCTTATAACAGCATGCCTTGGAAAGTTTTCTGTGATAGTGCATCTGTCTCTGTCTACTTCATTCTTAACAGCTATATGATGTTGCATATTATGGCCATTTAATTATATATTGATTTGCAGTTAATAGGCATTTAGCTTCCGATCTTCGTTACAAATAATGCTACAGTAGCTCTCTTTGTTCAAATTTCTCAGTGCTCATGTATGTGTTTCTTATTATGGAATTTCTACCAATAAATTTTGATTAAATTGAAGTCAGTGTTTATATTTGGGAATAACAAAATATATTTTTCTTTGGAAGTACTCTGTTTCCTTAAATCCTGGTGCCTTTTCTACAAATAGACTTGGTGAAATCTTTCATGGAGAAATTCCATGTAATCACTGTATGGGATGCTGTTGGCAGATTTATGTGAACCATTGCCATAAAAAGGCAGAGAAAGATCCAAATGTCCATGGGTAGGTGGTGGGCAAAATATTTGCAAGGACATCTCTGTCATATAAAATAGCCCGAGGAAGTTCCCTGACTACTGAAAGAGCGAGATCTCCAGGATGTTACTGTTATCTGGAAAAAGCAAGATGCAGAGTGTGTGTAGAAAATGCAGGTGTTTCTTTAAGAAGGAGATGAAGTAAGTTTGTACTTACACAAAGAAATTGAAGGTAACACAAAGGTGTAGTAAAAGCATTTCTGGATGGGGTGAAGGAAGACTTTTCACAGCCTACGTTTTTACAATGTCTTAATTTTTGAACCATAATTATATTGCCAATTCAGAAATAATTGACTTCTGAAAATGAATTTTACTTCTTAAGGAGCCAATTAAATCTGACTTTTTTTTTTTTTTTGCTTTTGTTCAATTTTATCTTTTTTTTATTTGTTCTTTTTAGTTACACATGTCTAGAATTTATTTTGACATATTATACATACATGGAGTGTAACTTTTCGGAATGTAACTTTTCATTCTTCTGGTTGTACTTGATGTAGAATTACATTAGTCCTGTATTCATATATGCACAAAGGAAAGTACTGTTTGATTCATTCTTCTGTCTCTCCTATTACCATTCTCCCCTCCCTTCCCTTCATTCCCCTTTGTTTAATCCAGAGTACTTCTAGTCTTCTCTATTCCCCCAGCCCCATTGTGAGTTAGCATCCACATATCAGACAGAACATTTGGTTTTTGTTTTTTTAGATTGGCTTGTTTCGCTTAGTATGATAATCTCCAGTTTCATTCATTTACTGGCAAATGCCATAACTTCGTTTCTCTTTATAGCTGAGTAGTATTCCACTGTGTATATATACACCACATTTTCTTTATCCATTCATCTGTTGAAGGGCACCTAGGTTGATTCCATAGTTTAGCTATTGTGAATTGAGCTGCTATAAACATTGATGTGGCCATGTCACTATAGTATGTTGATATTAAGTCCTTTGGGTATAAACCAAGGAGTGAGGTAACTGGGTCAAATGATGGTTCCATTCCAAGTTTTCTTAGGAATCTCCACACTGTTTTCCAGAGTAATTGCACCAATTTGCAGTCCCACCAGCAGTGTATGAGTGTACCTTTTTCCCCACATCCTCGCCAACATTTATTGTTACTTATATGCTTGACAATTGCCATTCTGACTGGAGTGAGATGAAATCTCAATGTAGTTTTAATTTGCATTTCTCTAATTGCTAGTGATATTGAACATTTTTTCATATATTTATTAACTGATCATATTTCTTCTTCTGTGCAGTGCCTGTTCAGTTTCTTGGCCCATTTATTAATTGAGTTATTTGTTTTTTGAGTTCTTTATATATGTTGGAGATTAATGCCTATCTGAGGTGCAGGTGGCAAAGATTTTCTCCCATTCTGTAGGCTCTCTCTTCATATTCTTGTTTCCTTTGCAGTAAAGAAACTTTTTAATTTGATTCCATCCCATTTATTGTAAATCTGACTTTTTTAAAGCCCGTGATATGTGGAACTTTATGTAGCATGTTCAAACCTATGTAGTATTTGGGAGAGGTCAGTTATAGGACCATGAATTTTGAAGGAAATTCTAGAAACAGAATCTATATGGCAATTTAAATTCTAACTTCTTTGGTAGGAAGTTGGAAGGGCAGATCTGTATTTAAATTGTTGTTGTTGTTTTTTTTTTTTTTTTAGTTTGTTAGGATTTCTCAGATTTTTTTTCCCCCAAAAGTAATTGAAAACTTTAAAACATGATGCTCATGATTCACAGTAGGAATCTTTTGTGGCTGCCTTGGTAAATACCATGATAAAGTGAACTCAGTTATGGTCTTAAGCCTGTGTTTGTTATTTGCTGAAGTTGGTGTCCTACAGAAAGAATAGACTGTGATTTTATCTTTACAGGAGCAGGAAAATTCAGATTCGAAACATCCCTCCTCACCTGCAATGGGAGGTAGGTCAATATTTCTTGTCAATAGATTTTCAAGACACTTTCTCCCTTTTTTAGTTTCCTTTCACATTTAGGAATTAGAGGTCCTGAGACTTCTCTGCAGAGTCTGGGGTCCTGCCTCTTCCTTTCTCAGTGCCCTGGTATGGCCATGGGTCTCAGGGTACATTTGGCCTTTTCACTATGTGGCATGTACTTTGATTTTTCATGCTGTCTTCTGAAAAGCCAGGCCACCAAGCACCAGCAACCAAGCTGTGAAACAAAACGCTTACCTGGATTGTGGTTTTTAACCTCAAGATTTGGTAAAAGATTTTATCTTTCCAAATTATGATTGGAAAAAAAAAATCAATGGAAAACCAGCAAAAATAGAAAGCTGTTTGTTAGTTTGAGCAGGTTTTTGTTTGTTTTGAATTAGTTATTATGAGTAACAGTTAAGATATATTTTCAGAGCTATAAAACTTCTTCAAAGATTGCTATCTTAAATTTAAATAAGATAAACTATTGGGAGTGGCTTTATTGCATTATTTAAAAACTGTCCCATGTTGTATTCCTCAACCCAAAGGAAATTAAAATAGCCTTAGAGGAAACAGAATTTTTTTCTAATGTTTTCATTACTTTAAAATAATGCTTTTTATTATGGAAAGTTTTAAACATACACATCCTGCTGCCTTAAAAAATAAGGAGATCCCTGGAGGAAAACTGAAGGAAGAATTGTTAAATCTTACAGGACGGAGAAGTGAGCCCTGTACTTTATTCTGCTTCTCTTGAAAGAGCAGTGAGTGAATCCAGCCATCATAATGAGTGATTGTCAGCAGCTACCAAGGCTCTGAAATTCTGTGGTGTCACTTGAGTGACAATAAGCAAATCAAAGTCCCATAATATTTGTTCAGTTCTAACTGTATTTCTGGATGGGCTGAAAGCAATTTAATTAAACATTTATGTATCCATTCTTGTTTTGCTTTGATTTGCTTGCTGGGGGATATCACTGTGTATATATATATTTTTTTTTTCTTTTTTTTTTTTTTTTGTGATTGTTTCTTCCCATTCTGACACTGCAGCTTCCTTTTACAGGTTCTGGATGGACTTTTGGCTCAGTATGGGACGGTGGAAAATGTGGAACAAGGTAATAAGTGAGGAAATTAGCCTGAGTTTTGGAGAGGGATAATACCTGTTATTTCTTATAGGCAACTCCAGAGAAGAATAGTAAATTCATATTTGAAACACGCTTCCTAAGGTGTATGTTAAATAACTGTGTGTGTGAGAGAGATATCTGTATCTTTGTATGTCTATATAGTTTTGTTTTTCAACTAAATGTGACTCTTAGCCTGTTTTCCTTATGCTGCGCCGTGTGCTCAGGCACTAGACAAACACTGTCAGGACCGAGTAAGCTAAATTCACTTGAGAGTAAATGGATTTACACTGCTGCTACTTGTTTTCATCAGCTAAGAGGAACACATCCCTAATGTCCTGCACTGAATGTTTTCCAAAGAGTAGGACTCCTGTCCCAAGAATCTCCCCCGTGCTTATGAAAATGCAGATTCCTAGCTTTCCACTCTAAGGTTTCACTAATAAGATTCTTTGGAGAAAGAGCTCAGAAATCAAGTACCCTGAGTGATTTTTGTGTGCACTCAAGTCTTAATAACTACTGTCTTAAAAACAGTGCTGCAAAGGCCAAGAGAATACTTACTTTACTTCTGCCATCCTCATTTTTATCTTCTAAAGCATGAAATTCTATGATTAAAAAAAATTAAAAAGTGAGGGAGTAGCTCCTGAAGCTGATGTCTTATGTAACTCGTTAGGACTCCCAGAAAAAAATGTTTTATAACAGCACAGGTCACAATAGGTAAATTATGGAGTCAACCCTGATGCCTATCAGTAGATGAATGTATTAACATAATTTCTTATGTAAAAACATAAGAAATTGTGGTTTATATATACAATAGAGTTTTACTTGGCCATAAAGAAAACTGAAGTTATGGCATTTGCTGGTAAATGGATAGAAATAGAGAACATAAGCTAGGTGATATAAGCCAGTCTCAGAAAATCAAAGGTTGAATGTTTTCTCTCATATATGGAAGCTAGAGCAAAGGAGGGGAGGATTAGATATCATAAAGACATAGGGAAGATCAATAGAGTAGAAGGAGGAGATCAAGAGGGAGAGAGGAGGAAGAGGAAAGGGGAGAAAATGTGGAATGAGTTTTAAAAACTCATTCTATGGGCATATATAAATATACCACAGGGAATTTCACCTTTGTGAATAAAAAGAACCAATAAAAAATAAATAAATAGATGAGCAAAAGGAAGATCAGTAGAGTAGAAAAAGGAGAATAGAGGGAAGGAGGAGGGAAGGAAAAAGTGGGGAAATGTGGACTAAAATAGAATTCCATGCATTTATGATTTTATCAGGATGCATCCAAATACTGTGTATAATTATAATGCTCTATTTAAAAAAAAAAAAAAAGAGTCCCAGAAAAGTACGTGCCAAAAGTTGGTTCCTGATATGAATGGTAGTAGCATAATAAAAATTTTGTACCTTGCCAAGAGAGCAGAATGTAATTTCAGTAACTTACTGACCACGAGCCTGAAAAAGTCACTCAACCAGACTCAGTTTCCGCATGTGTAAAATGGAGAGCATCATTTCTCTCCTGCCTTTATATCACTGATAGTTGTGCCACCTAAAGAGATCCTACAGAAAGTCCTTGTGAATAATGGAGTTTTATATAATCTTAAGGGATTATAAAGGTTCACTTAGGAAAAAATCATAGGAGACCCATGAAATCTCTTCTGTCTGCCAGTATAATTAATAGAATAGTTTTATAACAGATGTTCCCCACTGGGCTGGGGTGGTGGCTCAGCGGTAGAGCACTCCGCCTAACATGTGCAAGGCACTGGGTTCAATCCTCAGCACCACGTAAAAATAAATAAATAAAATAAAGGTATTGTGTCCAACTAAAAAATAAATATTTTTAAAAAATATGTTCCCCACTCCATGAATATTAAAAATATCATTATTCACATTTATGCTCCTACCCGTTCATGGCCAAAGGTGAATGGAAAGACCTCAGAAGAAGACATGATTTGCAAGGATTTTATTTCTCAGTTCTTATTTCCTTCAGTATGGACAAGAAGACATTCTTATGATTGGATGTAGTTGGCTAGATAGCCTTACATACATGAACATATAAGTTGCTAGCTAAGACCATGTTATAAATTCCATACAGTGCTACCTAAGGAAGAAATATCCCCTGTAATCCCAGCAGCATGGGAGGCTGAGGAATGAGGATCACAAGTTCAAAGTCAGCCTCAGCAACTTAGTGAGACCCTAAGCAACTTATCTACACTGTCTCAAAATAAAAAATAATAATAAAAAATCAAAGGACTGGAGATGTGGCTCAGTAGTTATGCATCCCTAATATAGAAAAAAGAAAAGAAAAGAAATATCCCAGTTCCCTGGGGCAGCTTATAGCTCCTGATCATTTCCAGTGTCTTCACAACTACAGGACAAACCTGTTGGGCTCTTGATTAATCACTCTTTTTCTTGGGTGATTCCTAATTCAAAGGCAAAACATTTTTAGTTGAGTTTTAAAAAACATAATAGTTTTAAATCCAAAAAAATAAGTGATTTGAATGGATCTTCCAGTTCATTCCAGAATCAAAAAACTGCCTGATTTCCTGAAGAGGAATATTTTTGAACAGGGAATATGGCTAAGAAGTGGAAAGAGAACCTGAGCATCTGAGTCTTAGTGGACAGCTGTATTCAGGAGGCTTCATGCACAGGGCTTTCTGGGAGGCTGCTTCTTTCTGCAGCCTCATCTGCAATCCTAGGAAAGAGCCAGTAGGAAACCCCTGCAGCTTTCTGTTCCATATTGAGAGGACACTTTGGGGCACATGTTGAATTGTGAGGACACTTTTGGGCACATGTTGTTGTTCTGTCCTGGATAAGTGTGAATTAGCAAGATGAGCGTTTCCAGGCAAAGGCTAGGGCTGGGCTTTGCATTTATGCCATGGACTTCAGGGGAAGTTCTGGTTGATGATTATGCACCCCGACCCCCGTAAAGGCTGAAGCTACTTTCAAGTGATTGGACAAACGATGTTTTTTTTTTTTTGTTTTGTTTTTTTATAACCTAAAAATCTTTAACCCCTTTGAGGTCCCAAATCCCGTTGAGAATTTTACGGAAATCATAAACCAGAAAAATTAGCCTTTCTGCAAACATTGGATCATGTGACAGGTAGAGGAGGTTACAGAATTCCTGAAGCTCAAGTGTGATGGATTTTATTATAGGATTTTATATAGGTTATAGGATTTTATTATCACTTTGTAAAACAGCTTTATGATGGTTTTCTTAAATTAACTTAATCTGGCTGTTAACTCTAAATCCTGCAACAGCTTTTTTTTTTCCCCCCTGTGGTGCCAGGGGTGGAACCCCGGGGCCTCGAGCATGTGAGGCAAGCAGCCTGGCACAGAGCTACACTCCCAGCCCCTCCAGCAGTTTGTTTAAAGAGAGGATTCGATTTAGTCATCTGTTTTGGAAGAATAAATATTTTTAGCTTAATTTTACTGGTTTACATGGAGAAAATTTTATCTGGAAACTTTTTTTATTTTTGAATCTCTAACTATGGAAAAAGAGATGCTGAGCAATTATAAACCAAGATAAGCCAGACGAGAGTGAGCCCTCCTTGGCCAGTCTCAGAGTTGATGTGTTCTCTCCTTTACTCAAGTTATGTAGAGTTGTCAGTATTCTTTATTGTTCACAGTTAATAGATTTAACTCACGCAAGCAGTCAAGGAATTCGGTCACAGGGAAACAAAAGTAGTAATGGTTCAACTTCATTAATAAGTGAAGAATAAAAGCACTTTCATAAAATAATGGTTAGCAGAGGCTGAGGGTTACCAGGTAGAGGAGATATTGGCCAAAGGATACAAAATTTCATTTAGATGGGAAGAATAAATGCAAGAGAGTACATCATGATGACTCTAGTTAATAACAATATATTGTATAGTTGAAAATCGCTGAGAGTGGATTTAGTGTTCTCACCACAAAAAAACATAGTATGTGAGATAATGCGTCTGTTAAGTAGCTTGATTAAGCCATTCCATAATATATGCATTTATCAAAACATCATTTTATATACTGTAAATATATAGTTTTTACTTGTCAATTAAATTTTAACAAAATTAAAACATTTTCTTACATATGTAATTATTTTAAACAAGTGAAAATAATAATAATTAAAATTTATATCTTAGTAGTAGCACAGTAAAATTTATCCAGACTTCTAGGAGAGCAGTCTGAATACGCAGTAAAAAGCATCATGTTGAGGCCCAGAATGATGGTACACACCTGTCTGTAATCCCAGTGACTCTAAGGCTAAGGCAGAAGGATCTCAAATCCAAGGCAAACCTGGGCAACCTAGTGAGTCCCTGTCTCAAAAAATATAAAGGGTTGGGAATTAGCTCAATGATGGAGCATCCCTGGTGCTAAAAAAAAAAAAAAAAGCTTCATATTGGGGCTATGAATATAATAGTAGAGTACTTGCCTAGCATGAGTAAGGCCCTGTTTGATCCTCAGTACTGTAAAGAAAAACAATATCATGTTCTTTTACCCAATTGTTTTCTTCTTCGATTTATTTTAGCCTACAGAAGTAATTCAGAAGAATACAAAGTCAAATGATGTTTGCAACAAAGGTGATTTTTAGCAACACTATTTATAGTAGTAACTATTGGGAGCAGCAGATTTGCCTTATGGGTTATGGTTAGGCAAATCGTGGCACATTTGCTCACTGCAATTCCATGTCAACATTAACAATGAAAACTATATTTAAAAAGTACATATATTCATGCAAAAATGTTTATAAAATAAGTAAAAATAAAACTGTTGTATATACAATCTATTATAAATGTGTTATAAATGTGTTTCATAAGTTGAGGACAAGTTACTGCGAATGTATTGGAATAAATATAACAATGTAAATACCTACAGAGTTCTATGAGGTATTTGGTACATTTTCTCTAAAGCTAGTCTGTCTACCTTGAGCCAGAGAGTGACTGACTTTTTAAAAATGATAATACAGTTTTTGTTTCTTCCATAGTCAACACAGACACAGAAACTGCCGTTGTCAACGTTACCTATGCAACAAGAGAAGAAGCAAAAATGTAAGTGGACTGAGGTTTATTTCCTTTTGAATTTATTTTGATTTTGTCTTGGAATTCCATTGAGTCCTGTGTTTATAAACCCTTTCCAAGAAGATTGGTGGAGGTCAATCCATGCCCCCTTTGACACATCCCAGGAGCTCATGACACCTGAGCCACAGTTGGCATATTGGTATAGCTCCACCGTATTCCAGCCACTTTCAATATGCAGAGGAGCCCCAGGACATTCATATGAGGATGTTTAGTGATTGTGCAGAAACTATCTTAAAAAATGTTGAACATTGGCATCAAAACAAAGGTGGATGCTGTGTCCTGACATGGTTGGGAATAGAGGGCCGTGTCTTCTGGACTCTGTTTTGACAACCACTTGGAGTTCCTTGTACTCAGAGCTTCCTCTGTGGGCCATGGGGAAAATACACAGCCTATTTCTGTCCACACTCATTCGATGGGTACTGAAACATGACATTTTCCTCTATATATTATTAAAAAAAGGATCTACCTCAGTGCCAGCAGCAGTGGGTGAATTATTTGGGAGTGGGACATGGCTTAGGTTCTTATCTCTACCCCCATTCTCCTCCTAGTCTCCATTATTACATTGCTTCTGTGATTGATAATTTAAGCTTAACTGTTGACGAACAGTTAACAGTTTAAAAAAAAAAACAATTTCCTTTTTTTAAGGAGGTTCTTGAAGTGCTGGTCAAGTCATCATAGCTAGAACTCTGGCCACAAGTGGTCTTACTTTATGCCTGTGGCCTAACTTTGGTTATATATCTGTTATTATTGGAACGTCAAGTCCAAGTCCAGGTCCTAGGCATTCCAAATAAGGAATTGAGCGAGACACACAGAAGTAGCAGATAGAGTACTGATATATTGAAGGTGAAGATAGCGCTCCGTTACGTAGAACAGAGTGGGCTGAGCCAGAGAGAGAAGATCAAGGCCCCCAGTGTCTGCACAATGTCTGTGCAACGTTCTCTTCCCTATACGGACCTGATTGAAGGCCTTACCCCATTTTCTCCCGTTGGTTATCTTATGATACCTGATCAGAATGTTTTCCAATCCCTCCCCACCATTAGTTACTTTAGAAAACCTAATTAGAATACTGTCCACTTTTCTTCCATTGGTCATTTTAAAATTTGTAGCTCAGTGGTAAAAGCACTTCTGTTTTCAATACTCAGTACCCCCTTCCACAAAAATGAAATTTAAAAAAAAAGAAAGAAAGAAAGAAAGAAATCTGAGCTGGGCATGGTGGCACATGCCTATAAACAGTGGCTGGGAAGACTGAGGCTGGAGGATCTTGATTTCAAAGCCAGCCTCAGCAACTTATCAAGGTTTTAAGCAACTCAGCAAGACCCTGTCTCTAAATAAAATATTAAAAAGGGCTGGGGATGTGGGTCAGTGGTTAAGCACCCCTGGGTTCAATCCCTGGTACCAAAAAAGAAAAAGAAATCTGAGAACTTTATTTTAAAAGTAGGAATTTGTCCTGTGTGTGGAGTTGTAGCTGCAAAGATGCTTGTGGTAATTCTATATGTAATTGTGAAAGATGGGACCTAATGTACATATCTACAATAAAGTCAATTTCAAAAACTTGGATAAATGATTAGCCTGTTAAACAGCCACTAAAAATAATGTTAAAATATAATGACATGGAAAAATGTTGAGTATTAATTTTTTAAAGATTAGAAAATTATATGTACAATATCAATTCATTTTTATAATACATTTACACTTACTGAAGATAGGAAAAATAGAATGGATTAGAATTCTTTATTTGTACTTATGTATTTCTGAATTTTCCATAATAAATGTTATGTTGTGATTAAAAGAAAAAATGATGATTTTCTACTGATACCTACAAAGAGTTTTGGGTGACGGGGAATACAGCCCAGGGTGGTGAAGAGCAGAAGGCAGTATTGTTCGTCCAGTCGGACCAAGCCTATAGGTGATCACTTGTTTAATTGTGGGGAGCCACTCTGGCCAGGAGCTGTGTACATACCTTTAAGTCCTGAGTAAGGAGGTTCTGACCATTGCAATGCAGTTGGACCTTACCTCTGCTCTGATAAGAGAGGTGTGGGTCCAGAAGTGGGCGTCACCGATGGGGTTGGATTACACCCACTTGTTTGTGGTAACCCTACCCCCTGCCTCATTTGAATGGCTTCTCCCCAATAAAGCCCGGGTTCCTGGCATGCTCTCTCCTTCTTGCCTGCCTTGGCCCCCATGTGGGAGCTGCAGCTGAGGAGCGGTCACTGAATCCAAAGATAAGGTGCTTTCTGGGTCTGTGTCTTTATTTAGTCCCCAAATTCACGTGGAGCGACCCTGACTGGTTTAGTTGTGTGTGGTGACATTTCATTGATAGTTGGAAGCTCCGGGGGAGCAGAGCTTGCCCTCCACTGTATCCTCAGTGCAGTGCGCGGCACCCACACCCACACCCACACCCACATAGGCGCCTGGTAGAAGGGAGTGCACCCACCCGTCCCCGGGAGAGTCTTCCTCCTTGTCGCTCTCTGACAAGGCTCTCCCCTCCCTGCTGCATTCCAGAGCCATCGAGAAGCTAAGTGGGCATCAGTTTGAGAACTACTCATTCAAGATTTCCTACATCCCGGATGAAGAGGTGAGCTCCCCTTCGCCCCCTCAGCGAGCCCAGCGTGGGGACCACTCTTCCCGGGAGCAAGGCCACGCCCCCGGGGGCTCTTCTCAGGCCAGACAGATTGATTTCCCGCTGCGGATCCTGGTCCCCACCCAGTTTGTTGGTGCCATCATCGGAAAGGAGGGCTTGACCATAAAGAACATCACTAAGCAGACCCAGTCCCGGTACGTGCCTCCGGGGCTTCCTTTGCTTCCTTCCAAGGGGGTCCCCTGCCACCTTCAGGTCACTCTTGCTTATATCAGCAATGGGGTGGGGTGGGAGGGACATTGTATGGGATAGTAGCTTCTTTAAACAGGACTACTAACAGACTAACTTCGAGCTGGGAGCCATGATGAGCTTTAGTGCTAATTGCATAACAGACACAAGCCAAAGGTGTGTAAAGAGGGCACTGATGAACCTCGTAGCCAAGGATTGTTCCCATAAGCTAACTAATGCCCTGAATGCATGTAGTTCTAAAACAGCCCAGGTGTGGGGTTCTTTGGGATTGTCAAGCCCTCTGTCTTAGCTCTACCTTCTGCCCTAAGTCAGAGCCCTGGAGGTAGACATTCTTTTAGAGACCAACTAGGTAGTCTCACGAGGACATGGTGAATCATTGGTGCATCAAGCAAGAAAGAAAGTACACTGGCCTTATGTTTAGTTTTCTCTCTGTTTAAAGAGACTGAACTGTAAAAGGAGTCGGATAAAATGACTTGTGCAGTTCTTGATTTTTGTTAGGTTTGTAAGACCACAGCACAGGACTTGAAAAACAATGACTCATGTTCAAGTTTTACCACTTAATGACTATATGATCTTGGGGAAAAAAAAATTTAACCTGAGTATCAGTTGCTTCTTCTGTGAAAAGGAGATTACTGTTTTGCCAGGATTATTGTGAGAATTAGCAAAACCAGGCAGATTTAAAGAAATCACTTCAATTGCAAACATTAAAAGTACGACAAATGCTAGTTACATATATGTGCTAGTGCATTTTAACCTGAAATGTTTGAGGTTTGTAAAAAGGCTTTGTAACCTGGAAAAAAATGAAAAGCTAATTTCCTCAGCATCTGAGTTACCCCTAAGTATGGACACTAAGATGGATAAGGCCTAGAGTGCATAATCTTAGGAGGAAAAGTGAAATAGAGAAATTACTATCTCACGTTCCTTTTATTTTAAAAATCAGCCCTTTGGGTTAGCACAGTCCCATGCCTTAAGCATACAGTAAAGTTTGTATATATTTTTTGCAAATAAACAAAAAACAAACAAACAATCCTTTCTTTTCCATCAAGTTTGCCTCACTGAGAATGTGATTTTTATTTATATCTCCTTTTATTCCAAAGATTGTTGAAGGTAGCTTTAAAAAAAAAACTGAATTTAATGCTCAAATTGTGTGCCTGTTTTAAAGAAGTAGGCCAAAGATTTGACTCTGGGCTTTATAACAGCCAGAGTATAAAGGGATATAATAGAAAACATGATTTTGAAAGTTAACAAAATGAGTAGGGCCACAACTACCCAAGGAACTCTGATAAAGTCATCAAGCTTTTGAACCATTAGTTTTAAGAGCCGGAAGAAGGCAGGCTGCCAATGGAAAGGAAACCAAAAACTTAGAGAGGCAGAGAGAGGGCATGCCTCTGTGTTTTATCCACACTCAAACATATAAAGCTTGATCAAATTTGGTGTTTGGGTTTGGATTAACATATGGGTTTTAAAAGCTGCAATCAGTTCAGAGACGGCATGGTGCCAGTGTGCAGTATTATCCTTCTCACTTTACTCTTTGCTTCTGCAGTCATCTGAAAGTCTGCAGAAAATACTTCATCTACCAAACTGGCTTCATTACCAAGCTGGCTTGGTGCCTCTGTCCCACAGCACTCCTATGAGAAACAGTCCCTTTCTGAATGGCAGTGCCAAGGATTAGAGCTTGGCACAGACCCCCTACACTGCTTGCCACCTTCTTGGAGAATGGCATTGGTTGTGAACGTGCTGGTGACGCTTTCCTGTCTGTGCTCTTGGTGTACATTGGCTGGTGCCAGGCTTTCTTGGGACTAGGGTCCTACCCCAGAGGATGTTGTACTTATTGTGCCTGATTCCTTTCTTACAGGGTAGACATCCATAGAAAAGAGAACTCAGGGGCAGCAGAAAAGCCTGTTACCATCCATGCCACCCCAGAGGGGACATCTGAAGCCTGCCGCATGATTCTTGAAATCATGCAGAAGGAAGCTGATGAGACCAAACTGTAAGTTTACATATGTTACCCGGGTACAGAGTAAGAAATGTTAAAAGCTTTAAGTCTGTAACTCAGTGAAGGGAACAGGGGAGGGATTGTGTTTAAGAAATTTGATCCCAAGAAGAACACCATAGCGAACAGACCTTTTACATTTACAGTATGTTTTTTCCTTCACTTGTGTTTTGGTGATCCCAATATTACCATCACCCATTGGTAGTAACATTGGTAAGAACATGAATACTTATGCTGTCTAGTACAACTTGCAATGATGGAACTGTTCTATATCTGCACTGTTCAATAAAATAACCACTAGTCACAGACTGGTGTTGAGTAATTGAAATGTGAATAGTGCAGTGGAAGAGATGAAAACTTGATTTCAACTAATTCAAATCTGAATAGCCATGGATATGGCTAATGGCTTCATATTGGACAGCGCATGTATAGGATGTTCATTGTCTCCTGAGCCATCTTTTACTGTTTTGGCAAAGGTTTTTTCCCAGCATGTTTCTACACCATTTGCACTCTTAAAATTGGATTATATTTCCTTAAGTAGTAGAAACTGGTTTCCAAGTGATTACTCTTCATCCTACTTTTCTTCCATCTCCTCCTTCCCTTTATGAAATAGTTCTTAGGCTTCCACAGTATAATAGTGTATGTTGGTCAGCTTTGTGTAGCTGTGACAAAAATACCTGACGAACAATTTAGAGAAGATTTATTTTGGCTCACAGTTTGAGAGGTTCAGTTCATGGTGTGCCAACTTCTTGCTCTGGACCCAAGGTGAGGCAGAACATCATGACGGAGGAAAGCATTTCATGGCATGATGGAGGAGAGCTCACCCTTCGTGATAACCAGGAAACAGAGAGAGAAAGAGGAAGAGGCTGCAGGGAAGATGCACCCTTCCAGGGCATGTCCCCAATCATCTACCTCATCCCACCATCACCCATCTGCCTGAGTTCCCACTCAGACCATTCAGACTAGGATGGACTGATGAGGTTACACCTCTCGCAGTTCCATCATTTTACCTCTGAACATTCCTGCATTAACAGGAGCTTTAGGGGGACCCTTCATAGTCAAACCATAACAATGAGCATTGTCTCAATATGAATGGCAAGCACAATTTCTTACTAAATGAATTGATTTTTGTATTATAAATTGATGAATGGTAATAAAATAGAAAATTTAATTTTTAAAAAGACAGTGTCAGTTGGCAAAATTTGTGGGCCGTAGTGGCAGTTTTATAGAGGAGCAATGAAGCATGAATTGAATATAACATTAATTTGGCAAATAATGTCAAACATAACTGTCCCAAAACTGGGAAGATGAAAGTAGTTTTTAAAAGAGGAACATTGCAAGTCTATATTCATATTTCATAAGAGACTCCAACCTTTCATTTATGAATTATTTGCTCTTTATGGCTCTTTAAATCCCCTAAATGCCACAGCTTAATTTGAGGAAAGCCTTCTTTCATCCTAATTATTTAGAATTTTATGAGTAACTCCCTCCTTGATCCTTTAACCTAGGTGCAACTTACAAAATTCTAAGTAGTCAGCAAGACTCATTTTTTTTATAAATTTGGTCTTTAAAGTTTTCATGTAGAGCCAAGAGAGACCATTTGAATGTCTTTGAAATATTTTTTTCTGAGTACCTGTACCATGCTAAGCACTGTGTGTGCCAAAGCTATAACCATGAGCAAGATCCAGTCCTTGCTTTGTGGAGCTTACCAGTCTAGTGGGAGAGAGACTCATTAAACAGTCACACCAGTAATTATGTGCAGCTATGAGAAGTGGAGAAATGCAAGACCGGGTGATTACATGTAATGGGAAGCCCCAGTCAAGGTTTTAGGGGGACAAGAAGGCCCTTGAGGGTTTCAGTAAAGGCCTCCCTTGTCAGTGACAGCCCTGAGGGGGCTGAGTAGAAGATAAAAGATGTCAGAGAATAAGGATGCTAAACTCTATTCTTTTGCCAACTATTTATTGAGTACCAACTATGGGCCAGGCACTGTTCTGTGTGCCAGGAACTGAGCAGCGAGCAAAGTGGACAAAAGCCCTACTCTCTGAAAGTTACATTTGGGGGAGGTCTTCAAGTATTCTGTTTGTTTTGAGGCAATAATGCATCTGCTACATGTTTTTGGTCTCAGGTAATAGAAAATACAAGTGGCTTAAGCCGAGTGTGATGGCACATACCTGTAATCCCAGTGACTCGGGAGGCTGAGGCAGGAGGATTGTGAGTTTAAAGCCAGCCTCAGCAATTTAGTGAGGCACTAAACAACTCAGCAAGACTCTGTCTCTAAATAAAACATAAAAAAGGGTTTGGGATGTAGCTCAGTGATTAAGCATCCTTGGTTTCAATCCCCAGTACAAAAAAAAAAAACAAATGAACATAATATTTACCATATTAATAAGGCTTGGTGGCACCCACCTTGGGAAGCAGAGGCAAAGGAGTTTGAGTCCAGGAGTTTGAAACCAACCTAGACAACATAGCACAAGATCCTATCTTAAATAATAATAATAATAATAATAATAATAAAATTTTAAAAATAAAATCTATCATAATTATTTTTAAATGAATAGTTCAATAATGTTAAAAATATTCATATTATTGTGAAATCAATATCTAGAATTTTTCCATCTTGCAAATCTGAAACTCTGAACCCTTTGAAGAATTTTCCCTTTTCCTCTTCCCCACCCCTGGTAACCACCATTCTACTTCATGTTTTATGAATTTGACAGCTTGAAATGACTCATATACACGAAATCATAGAGTAGTTGGCTTATTTTACTTAGCATAAATCTCTAAGGTTCATCCATGTTATGGCATAGAGCAGACCCTGCTTTGATTTTTTTTGGGTATATGCCCAGAGATGGACTTGCTGGTTCATGTGGTAGGTATTTTTTCTTTTTTCTTTGGCAGTATTAGGGATTGAATCCAGCTCTATTACTGAGCTATATTCCCAGTCTTTTTTTTTTTTTTTTTTTTTTTGGTGGTACTCACAGCCTTGTGTATGCTAGGCAAGTGCTTTACTACCAAGCTACATCCCGAACCCTGGTAGGTCTGTTTTTAATTCATATCTCATTGGCTAGATCTGCTTGTAGACCCACTTTTCCCTTCCAACCAGTTACCACAAGAGAGTAAAATGATCATGGTTTAGCTACATTAATTGAAATTCATGAGCCTGAGGTTGGCGAGGGGACCTAGCCTCCCCTAAAGCCCAAGGCCACTTGGTATCCAAACAAAATAGCCTCCATTATATAAGAAAAAAGCAGGGTAATGTCTCTTGAGAGGCAGCCATTTTGTCCATCTTAAATGTTAAGTCATCATTTTTCTCTTTTAGAGCTGAAGAGATCCCTCTGAAAATCTTGGCCCACAATGGTTTGGTTGGAAGACTGATTGGCAAAGAAGGCAGAAATTTGAAGAAAATCGAACATGAGACAGGGACCAAGATAACAATCTCATCGTAAGTCACCCGTTCAGATTCATTGCGTCCAGTGATAAATCACTTGAGCATTTTGATATGCCCAACTCATCTGCTTTTCCCTAAAATTGAAATATAATCATGTGTGATATAATTATTTCCATCGTCATCAAAAACAAATACATAGTTCCCAGTCTGACATTTTCCAGGGGATATGATCTAAGTCATTAAGATTTGAGTGTGTTGTGAGGGAATCCAGTTTTCTCTACCAAGACATGTTTTGATTGATCTGGAATGTTATTTTTGCTATCAGAAAAAGAAATGTCTCTCTTTTTCCCACTGGCCAGTTTGCAGGATTTGAGCATATACAACCCTGAACGAACCATCACTGTGAAGGGCACAGTGGAAGCCTGTGCCAACGCTGAGATAGAGATTATGAAGAAGCTACGTGAGGCCTTTGAAAACGATATGCTGGCCGTTAATGTAAGTGCCTAGCGCTTCCTTCTCCGCTGGTTTTCCTCTGTGCTTTCAGGCAGGACCCAGGCCTTTCTAAGAACACTTTTGTCATTCAGCTGATGAGAAAGTGCCTTATCTAGATAAGTATGTGGAGTGTTCCTGACTTCTCTGGGGTAAAGGCATTAAAACAATCAGGAAACCAATTAGTAAAACATGATAAACACAAAACTGGACAAAACAATGTGAAGCCATTAAAAAAAAATAATGACTAATAATAAGATTGTAAAATCAGGAAATACTTATGATGTTTATTAAGGAAAGACATGCGAAAGTATTTATAACTAGGGTTCCAATTACATAAAATAATATGGATTGGAATTACTGGAAGGCTCCATACAAAACTAAAAATATATGGTATGTTAGGAAAGTGTTTTTTTGTTGTTTTTTTTTAACTCCTAATTTCAGAACTTTCTGTAACATTGTCCTTATTACTTTGGGTGTTTTAAAAATAAAAACTTCAAGCGGGGCCTGGTGGCAAATGCCTGTAATCCCAGCAGCTCAGGAGGCTGAGGCAAGATTTCAAGTTCAAAGCTGGTCTCAGCAATTTAGCAAGGCCCTAAGCAACTTAGTAAGATACTGTCTCAAAAGTAAAAAGGCTGGGGATGTAGCTCAGTGGTCAAGTGTCTCTGGATTTAATCCCTGAGACTCCCCCCACCAAAAAAAAAAAATACCATGGCCAGGTTCAATTACGCATAACTGTAATCCCAGGAGCCTGAGGCAGGAGGATCACCAGTTTGAGGCCAGCCTCAGCAACCTAGCGAGACCATGTCTCAAAATAAAAAATAAAATAAAAGGCCTGAGCATTTTGCTCAGTAGTAAAGCATCCCTGGATTCAATCTCCATTACAGAGGAGAGAAAGCACACTTTATAATTAACTTCCAGTTTTTATCTCGTGCTAGTGATCTGCACTTTTAAATTGCTTAATAATTGCTGACCTCCACCTGAGCTCTCATTAATACTGCTAGAAGATTGGTTTGAGTGTGTCCTTCCTATTATTGCTGCTTAGTTCCCACTTGATAATGGGGAAACACAAGTCTGCACTCAGGAAAGTCCTAAAAATATTTGTCCATTAGCAAAGCCCAAGCTCAGCTCAGGGGAGTAACAACTTTTTATTATAATTTTCTAACATATACAGAAGGGTGGAAAGATCTCTGATAAGCCCTCATAGCTGATAATCCAGGTTGTGACCTCATGGCTTATTTTGTTTCATCTCAACTCTCATCCACTTCCCATCTGTGTCAGATGACCTTGAAGCAAGTTCAGTCCTGATAACATTTCATAGAGGAATGAGTGTTGACCAAGAGTTCTGTGGACTAAACCCCAGCACCCTCGCTGCAGCACTTTCCACACTGGTCTTTACGCAGATCCACCCTCTGCCCCCACATCAGTTGGTCCCCACCTGAGCAGGCCACAGCACATGGTGACTGTGAGGCAGGATGGGGAGAGGTGGAGGAAGAGACAGCCACGCATCCTCCTCCCTGTGTGTTTGTCTCTGGAAGGACCATCTGAACGGCTCATTTTCTTCTTGACATCTTTCTGTGAACACTTGGAAATGCTCAAAAGGGTCTGGTTGCTGCAAAGATTTGTCACCTGAGCATGAGAGTCATCATGTCTATTCAAAGCCATGGTCTGAGAGATGACTCACAAAATCACTAGTGTCTTACATATCAAATGAGATGAAGGTGAAGATCCCAGTTCTACTGTTCCAAACATTCTAAAGGAAGCCAAGTTATGGGGTGACTACATTCCTCTCTCTCTAAGAGGTTTAAAATCCACCTCCAGCCCATTTGAGCATACTCAGGTTTAAAACATGGAATAAGCAAGTGAGATGATCATGAAGCTGGCAACTAAATGATGAAGAGACAGAAGTCACAGACCATCCCAAACTTGGATCATGGAATTTCCATATGTAGTGTCCTAGTGATCTGTCCCTGGATAGAGTGAGAAAAACCTGTTGACCCAATTTGTTTTCAGGGAAATCATTCAACAAATATTTATTGAGTACTTAACTATGTACCAGGCACTGTACACAACACTAAGTAAAAGAGTCTCTGTAAGAAATCATGGTCTAGGGGCTGGGGATGTGGCTCAAGTGGTAGCGCGCTCGCCTCGCATGCGTGGGGCCCTGGGTTCGATCCTCAGCACCACATAAAAATAAAAAAAATAAAGATGTTGTGTCCACTGAAAACTAAAAAAATAAATATTAAAAAAAATTTTTAAAAAATCATGGTCTAAAAGGGGAAAAGTTAATTGCACAGGTCATTCAAACACCATATGATGAGTGCTGTTTTAAGGAAACAGGAATGCCAGGAGAACCCAGATAGGGCGTTAGAGCTCAGACCTCTGGGGTCAGAGAAAGCTTCATGGATGAGGGGGACACTAAGCTGAGTGAGGGGAGACTCAGCCAGGTGAGGAGGGAGAGAAGCACTTTCTTCCAGGGGAGTCAAATGTGCAAGAGCCCAGAGGTGAGAGAGAGCATGGGGGTATTTAAAGGAGCAGGAGTGAGCAAGATGGAAATAACAGGTTGACAAGGTGGCCCGAATCCCCAGGTAGTCCTCAATTGCCATGGAAATATGTGTAGATGTTCCCAAGGGTGGCAGAAAAGCTTTGAAGGCATGCCACAGTCGGGTTGAGGATTGGCATCCACCCCCAATGCAAGGCGAAGAGGTCTTGTGAGCCAGGGCAGAGCTAATGGGAAATGCTGGTGCCTTTCAGACAAGAAATGGAGGTTGACCCAGGCAAGCTGGACCTCTCTGGTCTCCTCCCCTCATATTTTTTTCTCCATTTCTGTTCCCAGCAACAAGCCAATCTGATCCCAGGGTTGAACCTCAGCGCACTTGGCATCTTTTCAACAGGACTGTCCGTGCTGCCACCACCAACAGGGCCCCGCGGAGCTCCCCCCGCTGCCCCCTACCACCCCTTCGCTGTAAGTAGCTCAGCATTCAGAGGCACCGCCAGGCAGCAGCATTACTCTGCTATGTTGAGTCAGAGCTAAAGCTTTCATGTGGAGGCCATCCTCATGAGGATTGGAGGAGGAATCCAGTATTTCTTAGTACTTCTTCCTCAGGGAAAATTGATATTAAACCATCTTCTAAACATGTACTCTTAAATATCCTCTATTTAATCAATATGCTAGTATTCTATCTTTCATAGATAGAAGTTCATAGATAAAATTGATTAAATAGAAGCCTATTTATTGTTTAAAAAAAGATTTGTTAGCTCAAATAAGAACATTTGTATTATTCATTTATTACAATGTGAGGATACCTGGGTGATTCATTATAGATAGATAGATTGATTGATTTCCCAATCTATGTCTATAATTCAGATGCAGTACATTTTAATAGGCAGTTTTTAAAAGAAAATAGTGTTTGTGTCTAAACAGAAAAATGCCTGGTATTTAGTGTGTTCTCCATAAATATTTATTGTTTGAGTCATAATTCACAACAAAAGAAAAAATGTGAAAGGTATATTTCTACTTGTTGTTCTCCTTCACAAGCATTATTCAAGATCAGTACACTACCAAACTGGGATTTCAGACACTTGACAGCTCTTCCTTTCATTTCTAATTCTTCTCTATACATATTGCTTATTTTTAAAAGCGAACTTTCTTTTGCCCAATGTTTATGCCGTTTAAGTGAGAAGAATCAGGTGGGTGAGTGAGCATTGCTTTCTTTTGAGAGGTGGCTTCTGGTGTAGGCATTTCCTTGTGTGAGTTCTCAGTGGCTGTTTTGCTCCTCTGTGGAGATGTAGGAGGAACCCTCCACGTTGCTGTGCCAACAAAATACAGATGTGAGCTGGCACCACATCCTCTCTCACGTACACGTCTCCTGCAGTCTTGTCATAGAAGCTCCTCTGGGGTTTTTCTGAATCAGTTCATATCATCTCTTTAGTTTCATTCATCTTCCCTGACACTAAAGGATGCAGCTCAATCAATACTAAGTTTTGTGTGTATGTTTGATAAAAGCAGAGCCTGTGGAGGGAAGGGCTGTGGCTGCTCACTTGGCAGCTCCAAGCAGTGAGTTAGCATAAGAGGTATGTGTCCCAGTACCTTTGCTGTCAGATTTGAGAATAACCCAGCTCAGTACAGGGAAAAGGTATTAAGACATATCTCATTTCTTGAGAGGGAGGCTGAACACAGGACCCCATAGAAGATAACCTCAAGTCAGACCTGACACTCTCACAACCTGCCAAGGAGAGGCAGGGGAAGCATAATAAAATAGACCATTCTCAAGTTGGTAATCTAAAATGGGGGTCTCCATTGTATAGCCTGAGGGGTAGATCTGGTCCATCATTTCCTTTTTTTTTTTTTTTTTTTTTTTTAAGAATTCAATCTTTGTTTATTTTTAAAATAAATATAGATTGGTTGTAGATGGACACAATTCCTTTGTTTCATTTATTATTTTTATGAGTGCTGAGGATAGAATACAGTGCCTCACACATGCCAGACAATCACTCTACCACTGGGCCACAACCCCAGCCCCTGTTATTTATTTTTATTGTTTATTTTTTATATGGTGCTGAGGATTGACCCAGTGCCTCACCTGTGCTAGACAAGCACTCTACCACTAAGCTACAATCCCAGTCCCCATCATTTATATTGTAATCATTTTGTAAATTGCTTTTTATTGCTTGTTGTTTTGTTTTGTTTGGGGGCATGGTACTGGGAGTTGAACCCAGGGCCTCACACATGCTAGGCAAGTACTCCACCCTTGTGTTACATCCCCATCGCTTTTTATTTTATTTTTGAGACAGGGTCTTACTAAGTTGCCCATTCTGGCCTTGAACTTGCAATCCTTCTGCCTCAGCTTCCTGAGTACCATCATTTATTTTTATAAATAAAAATTTGGTGGGGACACAGCCATGGGCACTTATTTTCATATTGTCTATTTACTATCAGGCAGAGATGAGTACATGCAATAGAGACCATATGCTGCAAAGCCTAAAATTTTTATTATTTGGCTCTTAACAGAAAAAGTTTGTGGACCCCTGAACTAAAACAAGACAAGTTTTCATGTGATAGCAAAATGTTTTCTAAAATCTAAACTACATTTTTCCGGCTGAAGAGCTTCCTCCACATCTGAAATTTTTACTAAAATAGTAGAGTATAACCATTTTGCTAATATATGTAGTTCCTGTTCTTCATAAGATAGGTTAGCTAAAAGTCATGTAGTTCAGACTGTGGTTCTGTGGATCAAGAAGATTCTAATGTAGAGTGCACAGTTGCCCCGACTTTGAGATATTCTGGCTTCTATGGACATCACCCTCAGACATCACCCTCGTGCAGCTGCAGATTGCAGAGCTAGAGTGTAAAAGCACCTCTGCAAGACCTCGTACAGGCCCTCAGAGCCACATCTGGAGAGTTCACCCTGCTGGCTTCTGAGTTTCCTGTGGGCCTAGATCTCCTGAGAAGGACATGGGAGGGGAGGGTGGTAAGAATACTTTATGTACTTACAATGTTGCTTTCCTGTCGCATAGGCATTCAGATTTCAAAGAAAGATTCTTTTTGGTTGCTGTCATACAGCACAAATCTAGCACTTTTGCTCTTAACATTCAAAGGTCGGGAAGTTTGTGTGCACCTCCTTACAGCCGAATCATACACACATGCATTGGTCTCTAAACTCTGGAGTTTTTCATTAATTTGTGTATGTAATGACAACTATCATTTTTCACTGTTTTTTATAAAAGTGACCCATGCATAGTATTTAATAAGCAATACAGAAATACAGAAAGTACAAGTTTTTCTTAGTCTAAAGATACCCAGTATTTCTCCATGTGTAATATGAATATATATATATATATATATATTAGTCTTATGTCAAATTTTCTCTATTAGAAATCCTTGCATATGCATCTTGGCTGTTTTCTTGATCTCAGGGATTGAACCCAGGGGTGCTTATCCACTGAGCCACATTCCCAGCCCTTTTTATTTTGAGACAGTGTCTCACTAAGTTGCTGAGGCTGGTTTTCATTCTCCTGCATCAACCTCCTGAGTCCCTGGGATTACAGGCATGCATCATTGCGACTGGCATCTTTTTTTATCTTAATGATTTATAACAACTCATTATATATTAAAGCTGTTAAGCCACTGTCATAACTATTTTCCATCACCTTGTCATCTCTTATTATGTCTTGTACATATAGTTTTTTAAAATTATATTGTAAACAAACTATTATATGAAGTAAAATAGAGTTTCCCTTTGGCCTTTTTTTTTTTTTAAACTAGGGATTGAACCCAGGGGTGCTTTTACCACTCAGCTACATCCCCAGCCCTTTTTACTTTTTGTTTTGAGACAGGATCTCGCTAAGTTGCTGAAACTGGCCTCAAATTTGTGATCCTCCTCCCTCAGCCTCTTGAGTTGCTGGGATTACAAGAGTACATCACCACACCCAGTGGCCTTCCTTCTTTTACCCAAATTTCATCTATACCTATTCCCCACAAGTGTAATACTCTTATGTTTACACATTTTTTAAAAAATTTTTTTCTCAGCATATATATAGTCATATTTTTTAAATGCAAATTAAATCATGCCATACACCATGCACAACAAAGTTTTGTTTTTTACTTTGGGGCATCTTTTCACAGCTATACCTAATTTTATTTAGTGGCTGTGTAATATTCCATTGTATGAATTTACTATAACTTTTCTAAATAGTACACTATTTTTAGATGTTTGAGCTGATTCCAGGTTTTTGCTATTGCTAGCGATGTCCAAAGTAATATCGTGGGCTGGGCTTGTAGCTCAGTGGTAGCACTTGCCTAACATGTGTAAGGCACTGGGTTTGATACTGAGTACCACATAAAAATAAATAAATAAAATAAAGATATAAAAAACTGACATTTCAAAAAAAGGAATATCTTTATACATGCATAAGTCTTTGCACAAGCGTGTGATTATATCTGAAAGTAAAGTCTCTTAAGATTTTTCACCAACAGAATTCATGGAGAAATTTTTAAGTTAAGATGGCTAAATCTGTAATGTTTTTCTTTATGGGCTTCTGGCCTTTGATGTTATGCAATGGAAGAAATCTCCTATCCAAGATTGTAAAAATATTGTGTCCTTATGGTAATTGTTAGTTGGGTTAGGAAGATGGTTGTTTGTATCTGTAATTCATGGGGAATTTATCTGGACTTATACTTTGAGATAGAGATCAAACTAATTTTTTTCCAGTTGGAGAGCTAATTTCCTCAAATCATTTATTCAGTAATCTACCATCTTATTATTCTAACTGAAGAGCCACACTCGTGTTCTGGACCATATCCCACTTCATCCAATTCTTGATCTACACAGCAGTTCCCATAGTTCTACACCATCTTTGACCATCTTAACAGCAAGCTTGTTTTTTTTTTTTTTTTTTCCTCAAAGAATGAATTGGAAAGATGGCCAACATTTACTATTTGAGAAAATGAAAGAATATGAAGGAATTTTCTAGTCCTTGAAGGTTTGATAAATCCCATCCGTAAAATGTCTGGGCCTACCAACTTTTGTTTGGAGAAATATAATCTTTTTAGTTTCTTACAAGTGTTGGCTTGATTTTGTGGACTTCTATTCGTTTCGGGGTTCAGGGTGAGCTCAGGGATAGAAGTGTGAAGCCAATTCTTAACACCACAGATTTATATTTTCTCTTTTTTTCTTAAGATTTACAAGGGATTTTTTTACTTTTTAAATTTATAAGTAATTAAGTATAACAGTTTCCTTTTTATTATCTTGCAATCATTTCCTGAATTCTTCTTTTTTAACGAATCTGCCATGCAATGGGTGCCTGTGAAAACAGAGCCACTAGATTGTCTGTCTCCAAAGCTGCAGTTCTGGTTCAGATCCCCCCAAACCCAAGTTCTGATACAGGCCTGAGGCCACATGTACAGATAAGAGAAACCAGGCCCACCTGGAGGGGCAGCTAGCCTCACCCTGGTGGGCACTAAGC